ATTTTATTCTGTTGTGCACATTTGATATTTTTTGATAACATTTTTTTTTTCAATTTGGATAAGAGAGAACTTAGACATAAGTTTTTCTTTTAAATACATTAATGCAATAACTTTCTGGTTGATTACACCTTGCAAATCAGTATGAATTTAATCACAGAGAGCAAAGGGCATGCAGAAAGGACAAAACGTCTCTACAAGCAAATTCTGTGCTGTCTCCTACCATAAAATACTAAGTGTTAGAAATTAGATGTACCATTTACAGCTGCCTTTGGACAGTTGTGAATTAATGGAGAACCTAAAAAAATACATATATTCTTGATTAGCATTATCTGTAATGATTAAATCCATAAACTCAGCCATGTTCTAATTTTGTTATATGTTGTTTTCATAATGAAAGGTCTTTATACAGAGATACTATACAGATTTTGTTATTAGCACTACTAAAAGGCAATGATGCTAATTTTGTTAGAGGCCCACTCGACTTAGTTTGCTGTATAGCCATGGAAGCTACTGTTTATATGTACCGTTTGCCATATGTCACAGCTAGGGTTGAGCTATTTGTTAGATTTAGTCTGTCATTGTAATTGTGTCTATCTTAAGGTTTAAATCCTGAAGGTACCTTTAGTTTTGCAGTTCCCCATGGTAACAGTCTGGTTTTGTTGTTCCAGTTTTGAGAGCGAGGTGGACCAGATGCTCTCCAGAGGTCCCTTCCAACCTAAGTTATTCTGTGATTCTAGGGTAGGCATTTGGCACCTCAGTCCCTTGTGTAAATCTGTACTAGTGATGAAAACAATCTTGACAATATAACATGTCTATCAAAACACATCCAGCCCTCAGCAGAGTTCAACTTCCCTCTGATGCATATGTCTGATTAAGCCCATCTTAACTTTTAATGAGTTTCAAAGTTCCATTCAACCTATGACCTGGAAAACCATATCCTGAGTGGTTACAGTAACTCAAGCTGAGTTGCTCAGCTTGAATGAAATGCCCGAAGAGCAGCCATTGGGCAAAGCTCCCACTGATTTCACTGGGAACAGAATCTTGTCCTCCGGTGTGTCTTCTTCTTGAAATAACGGTGATAGTGAAATAAGGCAATTCTCCATCTCCTTTAAACATGAGGTTTATAGTGGCCAACAATTCCTATTAACAACTAACATGACTAAGTTGTCTAAATCTTCTTTAATTCATAGGGGATACAAATGTAATAGCTTACAAAGCTTCTTGGAATTAACTCTCCTTTTAAGTGTGGAATACTTGTATTAAGTGAGCTTGTGTAAATGACCTCCTTTTAATGCCTGTGAAGAAGCTGCACAAAGAAAATATGAATATGCTAAAACGTGTGTATGGGGAATATAGCTAGAATGATAGCTAAACCAAATGGTGGCATTTGCACACGCATTTCTTGAATTCTTCATAAAGGATCTCTTGATTCTGCCAGGGTCCAGAAAGACTTTTTGCAATTATTTACGATCCAGTAGAATATGCCTTAGGGGAATTTTCAGTGATGGAACGTATGCACCATAAGAGGAGACTGAAATCTGACTGAAGTCTAGATTTACTTGCATAGAAAAGATTACAGGCAACAGCTAATAGAGAGGAAATAATTTGAAAAAGATTTTCTTGGTTTGTTGCTAGGACTTGTTGAGTCTAATTTAACTCCCCAAAAGTGATAAAGTGTATGAAGAACCAGGCAGATCTAGTTCCATCTGAAAGATGTTTCCATTGGTGTTTTAGCAGTTTCCTGGGTTCAGAGTCCTGTATGAAAAGCCTAAAGACCAGTTCAAGAGCTGTGTTCCTAATGCAGGTTATTCAAACATGGAATTAGACAAAATTATTTTAGACAAGTTGTTTTGGATTTCAGAATGTCTGCTAGTATTAACTTAATCTTTATTTTATGTATTTAATTCACACATTACTAATTCCTTTTTTTTTTCCTGTCAGACATTAGCTGTGAAGCACATTAAGGAAAATATAATTCAGTTCCCTGCAGTTGGCTATTACATTTCCGTCCTAGAAAACAAAATAAAACCGATAAAAATCTCTCTCTTAACCCTTATTGAACTAAGTTATATAAAATTGACAGTTCCAAGTATACTGGTTAATTTGAAGTGCTATCATATCACAGGCTTCTCTAAATGTATTTGTTTTTCCAGGTGCACATTAGATGGTTTCCATGTAGTAACTGTTCCTTGGAAAATGGAAAACATATCAAATTAATTTTGCAGTTCTCCCCTGTCTTTTTCCTCCTTTGTTTCCCAAAGTGCATGTATTTATATTCACTATCTTTAACAAACCAATACAAAGGGAATTCCACCTGGAATTTTGATTACATCAGTTGTCACTGAGAAGTACAACTGCAGAAACAGCTTTCAGTTCACTAATGTTAGTTCAGTTGAATTAAGAAAATGTTCTCATAAATGGAAATTAATTTTTATTTTTTAAATGGCATATTTACATCCCTAAAGGAGAACATAACAGCTTTTAAATAGCACTGAAATCTTCTCTATATCGATGATGTTTAGCACGTTTGAGTTCGATCTGCTTGTGCAGCACCATTGGATGTACTTGCGCTTTGATTCGTGCCAATGTTTGAAACAGCCCTGTGAGGTAGAGTTAACGTATTTTACACTCATCTTCCACGTGACAAATTTTGTAGCGGAAAGTAAATATTTCTCTGTTAAAAATAAAGAAACAAAGTGTACTGTTTAAAGCTGTAATTATTAGGGTTTGCTGTACCAGATTGCCTGAACACTTCTAGTGTGTGCAAAGGAGGGAGACCATTAAGAGCAGTAATTGACTTCCTTGACAAGTTCAATTATTATTCCTTTACAGATGAATCTCAGGAATAAATGGTTAAGTGAGTAGTGAATATGTTATGCACCAAAACACGTGCCATTTTACAGTAGAATAAACAGGTACAGAAAAATATGATAGAAGTGCTCCAGGAAAAACCCAGAAGCGGTTTACCCCAGCCTTTCTATTTTGATTCACAGAGCCACAAATGATTTATTGTGGCATTCTCTTTGTGTTTTATCTACAATAGTGTTCTATATTGCAGGAACCACCTCGTCTCTTGATTATTCCCCTTTTTCACTTCAGACTGAGACCGCTGATATTTTCTTACATTAAATCTTCTTAACTGTTAACGGATTCTGCGTTTAAGTGTCATCCACTGAAGACGCTTTTGGCTATACCTTGCAGAAATATAGTTAGGAAGCAGTATGACTTGCAGATACAAACAGAAATTTCTCAGGAGGCAGTACTATACAGACTCGGATAAAATCCTCTTTAATTTTGTTAAAGTTACTGGAACTACACCTGGATTCTACTTTTAAGTAAACCACAACGCACCAAATATATCTGAAACATTAAAGGCTTGGATTAGTTTAAAGGTGGATGTTGGGTCTCTAAATAACTGCGAGAGTTTTGCAAGTATTTGCAGTTACACGCAACCTATATTTAGTAGGTATTATTGAAGTTACATTCTCAGAATTGTTTAAGGAGTCACTTAGCATCTAAATTAACGAACTACTTTTTGAAATGTGAAATTATCAGCATTACTTTTCACATGGAGAAATGGTTTTCTGAAATGATGAGTTAAAAAATGTACCCATCAAAATCGCACTCTGCCATTACGTATTCTGCAGTGCATAACTACCAGCATAAGGTAACTTGGGGCCCACACCCCCCTGCTATGATCTTAGTGAAGTATTGTTAACTCTCTAAAGGCTGTGCAGATTTTCTCTAAATGTCTAAATACACTTCTGGCAAATCTACTTTTTTGTATTCAAGCAAGAGGATTGAGAGTGTTGAAAGACATCCTTAAAATCTCATCTCAATACCTCACAGAAGGATATCCTGGAAAGACTCTGGTTTACCGTTGGGGAGCCACATACTACATTTTTAAAAGACTGGCATCAACATACTAGCTATATGTCCTCCCTTCTTTTTATTTATTTTTTCCCTAAGCAAAGGTGAAAACTCCATTCTGTGTTGTTAGAGACACTTGTAATGAAAACCAATGACAATATGTTTATTATTACAGAACATTATATTATATAATAGTGCATTAACAAAATGCCTACCTCTTTTATTATGTTTTTTTTAGGACACTGACATATCAAATCTTATGCTTATAAAAGAGACAGATACTAGACACTGGAAATCGTACTCTAATATATTATAAAGCTATATTATAAGCCCACTGCATGGGCTTCACATGCACATAAAACCTATAGGTACATAAATAATATCAAATGACAAAACTAGAAGCAGTTTCTTCATCCTTTATTTTACAATTTCTCACTAAATATATTTACAGGACACAGAGTTTGCTTTAGTGCAATACATAGTAATGTTGCATAAGTACAAACTGTTGAACTTTTCTAAAAAAATAAAGAAATAAAGCACTTAACTGATGGTACAGCTAAGTATGTAAAGCAACGTTAATAACTCTGAGTGAAAATGCTAACAGCATCTTTTCTTTTCATAAACAATTTCTAGAAACAAACCACAAACTGGCATTACATATTCCAAACTACTAACCCTTGTACAGGACCGTATCATTTAAAAAATGATTTTTTTAAAGCACACATACTGTACTGTATGGCAGTCGCCTTCTACAGATACTGACTTACCCTTTAAATACAAATATGATATTACCTTGGCAGTTTTGAAGAACAAAGTTATCTCAAGATATCAAACATCGGTAACAAACTCTGATAAGCACAGCTTCTTGAGAACTTGCTTTAACAGCATTTCTTCACAGTGATATTTATGAAAGGTTGGAAAAAGATTAGCATAAAATATTTCCATCCTTTTTCATTTGTTATGCAAAAATCATTACTTTATATTGGTAATTATAAAATTACAAACACTTTCTATAAGTAACTGCATCTGTAGTAATGATAGAAAAAGTTATCAGTAAGATACCTAAAATGAGGCTTGCATAAAGTGATAGTTTGAAGAAAACTTGGTACATCTTTTAAAAATAATAATAAGGGAGGTAACTTAATTTAGAATAAGCAACACAGTAGTTTAACGGAGACGATCTATTAATCAATTAAAAAAGTTAATTATTTCTTAATCGATGTTGAAAAACAAAGGAATTGTGATGAGATGAAATCAACTTTAAAAAGATATGATGAAACATTTACTCTTAATCTTAGTTTTGGCACTTCATTGGAACAATTACTTTACCAAAGACCAAAATATGTATAAAAGATATACAGCTCCTTGACATACCTTGCAAATATAGTACATAAGTACTGGCAAACACTGAAAACATAGTTAGTTAAACATTCCCACAGATTTGCACATGCATGCACTATTCGGACAACAGCGTTGTAGCTATGTTCTCGGCGGTGACAATCTTGCATTACTTGGGTGTTTTAGGCCGTTTCTTCAGCAGATCTTGTTTCTGATTTAAGTCTTACAAATTCTTTAGCAACTTCATCATTGGTCCTCTGAGAAAGTATTCTAAGAATTGTCAACCCAGTTTCATCTACAGAGATGTTCCTCAACAAGGGGTACCAAGATGCACAGCTACCTTTCTCTGCTACGTTCTGCAGCTGAATAACTGTCATTCCTATAATGCGATCTTCCCTAGCAAAGCAGTAATCTTTCACTGAGAGGTGAAGCTCGTAGGCTCCTGGCTTATCTTCATTACTCAAAACGCTGCATGGATTAAAGATACAAATTTAGAACAAGGAGTTCAGTTTAATTCCCCTAAGGAACGAATTTGTAAAAAAAATCTTGTAAAAATTAAAGTGATAGTTTAATTTTTGTAGTTCCATTTTTTGCAACAGAATATCATTTAGTTTTAAACCTTCTACACAGTTAACCTCTCAGGTGCTACTGATGATGCAGCCTCTGTTCCCACTGACCTGAACAGAGACAGAGAATTTATCATTCCCTCAATATCTGAAGTAAACACTGTTACCTTTCGCTAGAAAGTACCTAAAATGTTCAACTAGTTCCACAACTATCATAACCACATCTTTAAATCAACTGAAAAAAAATCAAGAAAATCACAGGCAGCAAGCAACAAAAGCGGCTGTGTGGTCAGACACTGAGAAAGTGAACTCTGTTGGGGTGGAGAGTGAGGGGAGGGAAATGAATTGGTCTCAGTTATGAAAGGGGGAGGAAAAGCAAACAGGTGAGAGGTGCTGTGAGAAGTACTGAATTTAAAACTCCAGATTACGTGAAAGTTTCTTCATGCTTTAAGGATTAAATAATAGAGATAAGTAATACCATTAACACATGCACAACCCTTTACATATTTAGGTGTCCCAACAGTCATAAAGGCCCACATATCTAGCAGTAATAATTAATGCTTCAGCCCAGATAATTACTTCAGCAAATAGATT